CACGCCCCTTACTTCACCGCTCGTAGATACGACTTATCTCGGCCTAGCTACTACTTCGCTTTCCCTGCAGTCCCAACCACCTCTGCGCGCTATGTACGTAATCTCCGGAGTCGGCTATCCGAGCAATAGCTTTTTCCTTCTCTGCACAGACGTAGTGTGTACATAACAATTATTTGTCTTTCCTCCGTATCGTCATCGTTACTAAGCAATTGCGCGACAGGTCTTCTTGCTGCTAAATTCACACCAAACAAAGCCCAACAGGCAATCGTGTACTTCGATACGTCTTTTTTTTTTTACAGCTTGCTACCTTCTCAACGGGGATCCAAGCACGATTCTACGTCTTTAGGCTTTCGACTAACCTAACCTCAAATTCGATGCTCCGTACGGAAGCAGCTTAAACGCTAGCTTAACCCCCCGCCTGTCAATCCAGCTACGCGTCACTTGGCCCCCTACGATCCACTCCGTCCCGAGTCTTTATAGTTTCTTCGTGACGAGCACTTGATTGTCAAGGAAAATTATTTTGGTACGTATCAGAGAGCTATCCATTGAAATACGTCTTAAGATTCAATTATAATTCTCCCCTCCACTCGCCAGTTCATTTGACAATAAAAACACACATCCTCCCTCGTACCCTCGGATATCTCCTTTCGCTGCCTGAAGTTGGCCGGTTTTCACCATAAGAGGCAACGCAACGCCCGGAGTCGATAGTAACGCTCGATTAATTCGCTGGCTCACGGCACGCCGTTACGTTTAATGATACAGTAATAATTAATGGCGGGCATAAGTCACAGATAACGATCAGAGACATTAACCGTCGAGAAAAGGAAGCATAGCCCAAGGAATCCAACAGTCATTTATCCCGTTTAAATCGCAATACGTGTCTCCGTTTAGCGTCGTCGTAACCTATTCGTCAGATCTTAATGCGTACAGACTATATGTCGAGCAAACGTTGCAACGAGCAGCCCGCGCGCGCCTTCCGACCGAGATCGCCTAGAAGAAACGTATGAAAACACTGGCGCCTTTCGAACGTAAGAATTTTAACAATTCAATGTATATATCACAGGGGAAAGATACCTGCGACTTGAAATATTTATTAAAAGGGCTCGTAGCGAAAATACCAATTATTTATCTCGCTTACGTAATAATCTTTTTTTTATTTTCAGGATTACCAACGTGTGCCGGATCTCTGCTATCAACTGTCCTCTGAATATCCAAGCGCGCAGGGTTGCCAGGGAGAAAGAGGCAAGAGGGAGAGTACGAAAAATAAAGCCTAAAATTGTTCCCCGTCCCTATACATACATATGCATGTCCCCGGATGACATTATGCACCTTCGAGCCTCCTTTCGAAGCTAATTATATATATTTTTTTCAAAGCTTCCATACCAGACGCCTGAGCGATACGTAGACTGAATAAGGTGTCGAAAATACGTTCTAAAAGTGGACTTTATGCTACTGTTAGCAGCGTTCGCTGACTGATAACTCAGTCTAGAAAACAAATTACGCACGGCTGGCTTCCATTGAAAGTATAGGAACGGTACACGCTAGGTTTATAGAAATTCTCACTGGCCGTCGGACACCCTCGGCATTCCGTTCTGTTACGAAGAAGTCATCGTGATTCTATGTATCTCCGAGACATTGTTTTTTTCTCCGAACAAAGAAATTTTACCCATAAATCAGTAGTCCAACGTCATCCAGGATCGGCACGACGTCGTGCCTGAAGACTCGAGGTTTTGATTTTACGAAGTATTAAGGATGTCGCGTAAGAACGTGATAGATCGATAGAAAATGCTTGGGTGTCAATGTCGTCCAATCAGTCTATATAATTTGGCGAGAAGCTGCCGCGAAGCATCGACGGGACAGAATCCACTGAGTCAGAAACTAATATTAGAAGGTGAGGCTGCGCTGGCCCGGACTCGTTCAATCTGACTGACTGAGTCTCGAGCGCCACCTCGAGTCTCCTTCTCTCTCGCGCCTGCTGCCTTCTTCGTTCCCTCGAGTGAGTAAACCTTCTGGAATTCAAAGGAGCACAACCTAACCTGGGCTGGATTTTCAGCCTGGGGACAGGTGTAGCGCCACAGCACCTGCTGCTTGCTGGCATCGACGACTGGTATACCGTGCAGCCGAAGCTGCCATAAGGACACTATAGAGAAGCTACCAGGACGATGCTGTTTGCATGGCAGTGCCCTCGTGTATTTTATCCTGCCCAGCCTAACCTAACCCGACTACCAAATACAAGACTTAAATGCCGTTTAGCCGGTATCCCACTTTTTCTTTTTAATTTACTCTTGTAAAAACACAATCCACGATTCGTTGCTCCTACGCTTACGTCGGATCGCACCAACGGAAATAAAATCGAGTTTTCCCTTGGATACGGTTCAAGGACGTTACGAAAACCTGAATGAACGCGTCCGCGTACCCGAGGTGATCTGCCGCGTGGTGAAATACGCGGTAAGTTTCAGTTTAAAAAGATAGACACGCCTACATCTGGATCCCTGACGAGCGAAGGGAATTTATAAAAAATTACGAGAGGTTACGTGACGTCCTAGCAACAGTTTCAAAACACTATCGATATGTTTCTATCGTTATATAATCCTATTGTCAATCATTAGTTTGTCGCTTGGTCTACCTTCAAAGAAATGTCGCATCGGGTCGGCTCGTACACCTACCTTTTCCCGATGAGCTGAACCGGTTCGAGTGGCCCTCACGATACGATCCACCACGTCGAGTGACGCAGCAGCAGCACAACCGGCAGGTCTGAGTCACTCGCGCGGACACTCGTTTCTAAATGTGGGTAATCCACGTGCGATCGCATCGAACAAGACAACAATCACGGATCACCAAAGAATGCAGTAGAGACACACTCGCGCGGACACTCGTTTCTAAATGTGGGTAATCCACGTGCGATCGCATCGAACAAGACAACAATCACGGATCACCAAAGAATGCAGTAGAGACACGTCTAGAGAGAGAGAGAGAGAGAGAGAGAGAGAGAGAGAGAGAGAGAAAGAGAGAAACGTACGACGGAACAGGATCGTGGAGATAATAGGTTGTAAATAAAAGTTAGACGTCGCGTTGAACTTTCCAAGTAACAAAGGATCTGGAAGCGAGAAAGGATCTCTCGACGAGCTCGAAAAAAAAAAACGCCTCGATGCAGCCTGATAAGGATCAAGGAATGACAATCGTCGTGAGTTCAAGATAACGCGGACCTGCCAGGTCGACGTCGTGACCTGCGGCGATCACGGTGGGCGAACATGACCATTCGTACTGTGTCGTGATTGATCTTCGAGCCGGAAGTGCCGGAAGTGCGGCACGTCTCACGTTTAAGAAATACGAAAAGCAGCCGGAAGTCGAGGCCGAGCGAGAGACGTTAGACCCGTCCCCATCGGCTGCCGAGTAAAGACTGGCTGAGACTGTCGTGTTCCCGAATGTTGGAACGCGGCATCGAGCAGACTGCTGGGTAGAGCTGGTGGGGGGGAAAGTCGGGGGCACTCGGCGATCCAACCAGCGTCGAGTACTTTTTATACATAGAGAGACTAGCTAGTCCGGACGAGTATGCTCGCTTCTACACCAACCAGCCATAACCTCACACCCTCTGAACGTTCGTTCCTCTCTATCTCTACTGCTCGTGCCGTACTCTTCTCATTGTCCTACCGGTATACGTTGAGTTTACTCTCTCCTTTACCAATTTCCTCTCTCGCTCCTGCGTCTCTGTGCCTGTCGGGACACCCGTGTGTGTAGTAACTCGCGCGCACCAACAAACCAGACCAGAAACACACGAAGAGACCCGGATGAGTCATCCAGCTCGTGCATGTTCCGCGAGTTACTATCGAAGACCCACTGTCCGATGCAGGGCTTCCTTTAAGGACGAAACCAGTAGGTACGATCCGATACCCCGAAAAAAATGTCTATAATTTACGGAAAAAAAAAAAAAAAGAAATTCGACATTCACGCTTCCCAATTTCCCCCTTCGATCGCTCAATAACAATTTTTTATACTTTATCCAAGAAATATCCGTCGCCAGGCCTCGTGCACCTAGTTAATAAATTATCTTTCCTTGTCTCATTGCAAACAACGAATAAGACGGTTCGCGACGCTCAAACGGACGGTTGGCTATTTGCGAACTGTTTGCTACAGGAATGAAAGGTTGCAACGTACATAAGCGAGGGTAGCGACGGAGTCTGCACACGAGTCCATTAGAAACTTCTTTTTAGCGGCTTGCATTAGTCACGGGTTTGCGAAACCCTTTTTCCA